CCCACCTCCCGTGTGTATACGTAAAACCAATAAATGGCAGATGATGACCCGTAAACGCAGCAGTTACTCGGGGTGGTTGAGTTTCCTGCAACTTTTGTATGCAACGCATGTGTGGAAGCTATTAAACGCTTAGTACACTTACACAGGGTGTAAAATCGTCCTCGCAGATGTCAACGTCAAAGTTTGACGTATCTGTAGGACTAGACACTTCTGGGTGGTATGGAGGGTCAGCTACAAAAGGAAGTAAACTCACAAAAGATATTGTGAGACAGGGTGAATAAAAAAGGTGAAGAGTAAAGCTAGATGAATGACATACAATCTCTAATTCCAGCCCAATCGACTCCCGAAAAGAACGGATGGTCACGGAAATCCGCAAAACCTCCTTTGCCGAGCCGAACCTCAAATAAGACCGCAATGCAAACGAGAACAAGTCTATCACGGTATTGACGGAGAAGGAGGAAAAGAGGAAAACGCAAAGCAAGAACTGAACGCTTACTTCTCTCGGACAAATTAGTTTTCGTATTAAATCCTTCGCTTCTTCAGATATTGTCCAGTCTATGTCTTCATCGGGAAAATCGAGCATGTCTTGGTGACTCATAATCTTTCCATATGTATCGATCAAGCGTTCGGAGTAAAAGGGTGTATTTCCGTAAAGCATCTCGTACCTGAACACTTATAGATCGACCAGCACTAAACGTATACGTACTCCAGAGTACCAAAACTGCATATAATCCTACAAAGAATCTCTGTCAACCCACATGCAAATCCCTAATGACCACCAATCGCATTCCTTGCCATAATGCCCTTTTCCATCCTCCATTGCACGCAGGATCTCTGGCGATATATAATCCGGCGTTCCAACAGCGACGTTTGAGGCCACCGTACCTGGGATATAATACATACATTAGCGATATTTGCAAACAAGAGCAAAAAAATCTCTCACGAAACAATGCTATGCATTCGAATCCAATAGGTGGACACACTTACCATCTGGTAATAGTCGAAGGCAACTTCCGAAGTCAGCTAGCCGTATGTGGCCTTGTATGTCAAGCAATACGTTATCTGGTTTTACATCCCTGAAAAATAATTAGTTAAACAAAGTACTTCATATTGACGTTGCGGTAAAAAAAAATCGCAAAGTGAGGTAGCTTGAATTTTATGCAATTTCTCCGTTTTCTAAAGAAAAAAAAGGTAGTAAA